TTTATCTTTCTTCTCTAGCAATTATTTCTGATTTGCATTTTCCTGATAACTACTGATGTTGAATATTTTTTTTTTCATATATCTATTGGTTGATTGGATTTCTTTTTTGGAGATGTGACTTTTTAGTTCTTTTGTCCATTATTTGATGGGGTCATATGCTGTGTTTTTGTTGAATTGTATAAGTTCTTTGTAGATCTTTGATATCAGCCCCTTATCTGGTATATAGAGTACAAATATCTTATTCCATTCAATAGGATGTTCCTTTGTTTTATTATCTGTTTTGTTATACTGAAACTTTTTAGTTTGATGTAATACCAGCCATTTATCTTTTCCTTGCTTCTGGAAAAGAATACTCAAAGATGTTTCTGAGTTTTATGTCATGGAGTATTTCCCTATGTTTTCTTCTATATATTTAATGGTATCAGGTGTTATATTCTTTTATTCATTTTCAGTCCATTTTTGCCAAATTGTAGTAACAAAGTAGGTGAAAGACCGACACAAGGGAAATTATAAAACATTGCTGAAAGAAATAGAAGATACAAAGAATGGAAACACATTTTCTGCTCATGGATCAGGAGAATTTATGATGTGAGATAGTACTTTAGTTTCTTTTCTTTTTTGCATATTGCTGTCAGCATCATGATGTTGTCCCAACACCATTTATTGAAGAGATTTTTCTTTGTTCTGGTACATATACTTTGATCCTTTGTCATAGATTAGTTGACCAAATATGTGTGTTTTTATTTCTGGTCTTTCAATTCAATTCCATTGGCCTGTGTGGATGTTTTTGTTCCAATACCATGCTGTTTTCATTATAATGGCTTTGTGGTATTATTTGAAGTCTGAGAGTGTAATGCCTCCATTCTTCCCTCTTTTAGTTAGGAGAGCTTTCACTATTTGAGGTTTTTTTTTTTTTTTGATACATGTGAATTTCATCAATGTTTGTTCTATTTCTTTGAAGAATGTCATCGAGATTTTTACTGGAATTTCATTGAATCTGTAACTTGCTTTTGGTAAGATGGCCATATTTTTATAATGTGAGTTTTTCTGCTCCATGAGCAGTGAATGTCTTTCATTTCTTTTGTCTTTTATTTCTTTTAACAATGTTTTACATTTTCTCTAGTATAGGTATTTCACCTCCTTTATTAGGTTTATTCCCAGTATTTAATTGTAAATGGGATGGCTTTTTAAATTTCTTCCCCTTGGGATTGATTGCATATAGGAAAGCTACCAATTTTTGTGTATTGATTTTATAAACTGTTACTTTAAAAAAACTGTTTTATTTTTAATTAGTTTTTCTGTGGGTTTTATAGGATAATCTATATATATTATCATATCTGCATATTACAGTTTCACTTCTCCTATTTGTATTCCTTTTATGTCCTTCTCTTGCCTAACTGTCCTACCTAGGACTTCTATTACTATATTGAAAAGCAATGCTAATGGTAGACATCCTTGTCTTGTTTCAGATCTTAATAGGAAGGGTTTCAGTTTTTCACTAATAAGAATGATTTTAGCTGTGGTTTTGTCATATATAGCTTTTATTATGTTAGATATGTCCCTTTTATCCCAAGTTTTTCAGGAATGTTTATCATAAATGGATGCTAGATTTTATCAAGTATTTTCTCTATGTCTATAAAAATGACCATATGGCTTTTATTTATTTATTTTTGTTAATGTGGTGACTTACATTAATTGATTTTCAAATGCTGAATGATCCTTGTGTTTCTGGGATAAATCCCACTTGGTTGTGATGTATAACCTTTTTGATATTTTGTTGGATTCTGCTTGAGATTTTATTGAAGATTTTTGCATCTGTGTTCAATTGGGAGATTATTCTGTAGTTTTTTTTTTTTTGTGTGTGTGTGTTACCCTTGTTTGGTGGTGGTAACAGTGTAATGTTGGACTCGTAAAATGAATCTGGCAGTTTTCTTATTTCTCAAATTTTTTGGAAAGAGTTTTTGAACATAGGTATTAATTCATCTTTGAACATTTTCTAGAACTCATTTATGAAAACATCTGGTCCTGGGGGCTTTTGTTTTTTGGAGGGTTTTGATTTCAGTTTCATTGCTTGTAATTGGTTTAAATTTCTATTTCTTATTTCAGTGTTGAGTGGTTGTATAGATCTAAGAATCTGTCCATCTCATCTTGACTGTGAATTTCTTCGCACATAAATATTCATAGTACTCTCTGCAACTGTATCTGTTGTAATTTCCTCTTTCATTTATAATCCTACTTATATGGGTTTTCTCAATTTTTCTTTTCTTTGTGAGTATTGCTAGGAGTTGTCTATTTTATTTATTTTTTTCAAGAACCAGCTTTTGGTTTCAATGATCTTTTGGATTCTCCTCTATTTTATTTATTCCTGCTTCAATTTTCATTATTTCTTTTCTTCTACTGGCTTTTGGATTTTTTTTTTGTGGTCTTTCTTTTTCCAGTTCCTCAAAATGGGAGATTAGTATATTTTCTTTGTGTTATCTCTTGCTTTTTGATATGGGCCTGTGTTGCTATATACTTTCTTCTTAATATCATGATTACTAAGTTCTATAAGTTCTGAGAAGTTGTGTCATCTTTGTCATTAGTCTCAAGCTATTTTTTAAATTTTTTCTGTGATTTCCTCAATAACCCATGATTTTTCAGTAGCAAGTTGCTCAGTTTCCATGCAATGGACAATAAAATATGGACACTTCATGAATTTCTGGAACAGGCCATGTTAATCTTCTCTGTATTGGTCCACCTTTAGTATATGTGCTGCTGAAGTGAGCACACAAAAGTATTTCTATTAAATGGAATAAAAATTCCCTGCAAAAATAAATCACTCTATTGGATTGTTGGAAAAGTCATGACACATTTTTGCTTAAAAACATAGAAAAAAGGCATTATGAGTTTTCCAACAACCCAAGAGATCTGGAACAGAAAATATACCAGATAAGCTCAAGAACTTTCTCTTGGATCAGGTCACATATATATAACTCTATGACTTACGTTACTATTTTTACAGAAATCCTATTTTTTTTCCCAAATGAAAGAGGAAAAAAACAGTGTGAGAAGAGAGGAAGCAAAGGATGGAATATGGGATTAAGAGAGTTTTATAGGGCCCTCCCTTCTGGCGCAGTGTGTTAAAGCACAGCACTAAGGACCTAAAGCCACTTCAGCATGAGTTCAATCCCTTCCTTGGAGGTGACCCACATGATGTGGCAGACCTCTCCTGACCCACCCATTGCTCCCCTTCAGCAGTGTACTTCATCAGTCAGCCTGTTCTGCTCCCAACTCTGTCTCTGGTGAATCCTCTGACCACCCCTGCACACCTGGACTATACCCCAGTTCTGTATGCATAAATAAATAAATCCTTAAAATATATAGTTTTATAGGCTATATCAACCAAACGCAAAGCCTAAACCTTATTTGGATCTTGATTCAACTGTAAAAAATAAAATCAGGTGATGCAATTTTAAGTTTGAAAACTGACTAGATATTTGAAATTAAGAATTATTAGTTTTTTGTAAGCATGGTAACAATTATGGATTTATTTTTAATGAATCTTTATATTTTAGAAAAACATATTCCAATATTTATAGGTGACAATATATTTCAGAGATATGTTTCAAACTGACAATGAATAAGGAAACAGTTTGGGATATAAATAAGTTGGAGTTAGTTGTTATAAGTTAATGAATATGCAGGCTAGGTGATGATTGGGGAGTTCATTATACTATTGTTTAAACTTGTATACATGTAAAATTCTTCTAAATAAAAAAAAGAATGTGGTTTTAAAATATGTATATAAGATAGATACTAGCAATGAGAACACTCAATATATAGAGCTTGGTTTCTAAATATATTCTACTAGTAATAGGAACCAGGACTCCTTGAAGAAATGGATTCCTTCAAGTCTTTGGGGAGAAAAGTACAGGGTGAACCTGAATATCTTGTGTTAGAAGGCAAAGAATAAAAGAACAATGAGAGCATATAAAAATGGCATTACAAACTAGCATTACTAGTTTGTAATGCTCCCATTGGTTAAATTTGAGTAAAATCTAATATTAGAGAAAAAAATAATGATTTATAAATACTGGATGTAAAAAAGGAAGCAAGCAATTCACAGAAATATCAAAAACATAAAAAGGAGAGAAAGCAACTGTTAAAGTAAAATGCCACTATATCAACATAGAAGGGATACCAGAAGTAGAAAATTATCATTTCTCTAGTATCTAGTATGGAAGGCAAAGATTATAAATGTAGGGTGAAATCACTGGACAAAAGATTTATTATTAGAGACAAATAGGATAGTCAGTCTCTTGGAGCATAAAGGCAAGTAATTAGGTGCTCATAGAAAGAAATCTCTTTATGATGGCCAGATTTGCTGAATATTTTCACCAAATCATTGAACTCCCATCACTAATAGAGAGAACATTTGACGCCCTTGCCCATTTCTGGTATTGCAACTGGAGGTCTATTTGCCTGACAGCCTTTTGGACAGAAATGTTTAACTTGAATCCAATCACAAAGCAATCAGAAATTTGATTTGGACTCTTCAAAAATACTAAAGAACAAGCAAGGTAGCTTATCTAGATTCAAGGAAGCCAATCAGATCTGACCCTTGTCTGAATTCCAGATGAGGTTGGAGAAGGAAGAAGCTAAAACAGGGCAATATTTTAATGATTGAGCACAGTTTAATCGGACTATATATTTAAAGTACTTTTGCTCTAGTGTTGACATTTTGTAAGTATTGTGACTACTTTGTTTTATATGTCCTTGTTGAGCTAGAAAATGAGGGCATATCTGATAGTAGAACATATACACAGATGTGGAAAGCAAAAAAAAGATAAGATACTAAATTATCAAATAGATCTATGTGAAACCTCTGTTATTTACATGGGTGTTAGTTATTTTTACTCATTCAACTTCTCTATGGCTCTGAAATTTTCAAAGTAAGGAGGTGATGAACGTAAACTCTAAGACACTGATGTTTAGTGACATTGGAAGAGCTTACTACGTACAGATAACAGGGCATCATCGCCTTTGTCACAATGGGTCTTATCCTTGGAGTTCTCTTTCTGATTGACTGCTTGCTCTGCATATGACACCTCTAGGTTGATATCTGTTTCAGAGGCAGGCGCCTTCTCAGGTACTGGTGCACTGAGGTGCTTTACATCAACTTCTAGGCTAGGTGCCTGGCCTGGAAGAAAAATGAGAGGTCCAATTCATATGTTTTGTGAATATCTTTTGTTTTAATATCTAATATGTCAACTCTATTAAAATCTTTGTAAAAAGCACTATTTACTATCAAAAAATAATTAAAGGTTATTTTACTAGTGGAAAGTGCACTCCAGAAATCCCATAATGGTGCCTGGGTAGGAAGAGCAGGTGGTGACTACAAAGATTAAGTTCAGCTGTGAATTTTTATCTGTGGTCACAATTCTTAGACTGGATCCAACTTCCCAACATTGGTAGATGATCTCAAAGTCTGAGGGAGAAAAAAAGACCCACAAAAACTGTATTGACTTCATTATTGACTTATTTTACACTGGGGATTAAAGCAAAAAGGCAAGAAGGATGTTTGTTGTGATTTCTCTGAGAATCAGAGAAGAACCATTTCATTTCCTCACAGAGGAGCAGATTCCTAGAGTAAACTCTTCTATATCCTGCATTTCCTCTTTGATTACTACCCATTTATCACAGGAAAAAATCCAAAACAAGAATTAGTGCCAAAAACTTATCACTGTGGGAGTGAAGTGTAGAGGTAACTGGTACAAGAACCAGTCCATTTTGAACTTGATTATGAAACTTGCTGCAAGTGTAAACCTCATCAAATATCTTGCAGATACTTACATCAACATATCCAGGAAATACTATGTTTAACTTTGGGGTTTTTGTTTATTTTATTTTATTTTACCTTTTTGTCTGTTTATTGTTAGTCCTCTAAGAAAGAATTAACATTCAAAAGTCTCTCTGAAAACACCAGTTTGAACTTGAAAGAAAGTACTTTGAAATAGTATTATTTAGTAAGTTTTGAGTTCTAACTATAACTCATATTAGGAAAACCATGGAGTCAGTGACAGGATTACTGGTATTTATTCACTGCAAGCCTTTGATTCATGGTGACCATCTGAATTGAAAATAAGTTTACATGGTGTAACTATATGCATACACAGTAATAAGGTGATGGAAGAGAAAGGTAATTAAAATGTGTTTTAAACTGTATCTCTTGTGTACATATTACTAAAACTCTGCTGCCTTCAAAATATGTAGATACTCATTTAAATAAAAAAAATTTATTCCCCGCAAAAAAAAAAAAAATTTGTAAGCAAATATAAATCTAGTCTTACTCATTCAACAAGGGGGTTTGTGCACAGCCAACCTATGCAGTCAAACCCAGGCTCCATGCTCAGTCGGTCTCCATGTTCGGCTTAATGCTCTACTGCTGCAGAATTAAAACCTAACACAAAGTCCTGCACTTTCAGTTTCCACTGAACCTTACAAATTATAAAGCTGTTCCTCAGGGACTCTCACAGCTAAGAAAGTCAGTAAATATTTACCTATGTCAATGCTAAAAATAAGAATAAATTTGAAGCTCCTTGATAAGATTTATCTGCTGTCAGCCATGCCATTTATGCTTTTCTAGCAGCCCATGATCATTCTTTTTAATTAGAATAACTACATGTTTTTACATTTAATTTTTAAAGCATTAACTTAAATGTCAAAGTACAATTTTCATTTTATTTTCCCACTCGTTTACAGTGTTGTATGTTTTACTGTGAATATGTTTGTTGGTTCCCTAGGAAACCATTTGAAGAGGAGGAACATGATTAGCCATATTCTCAAATTAGAAGCTACCTTTCCAGAATGTCTCTATAGAAAAGAGTAAGTGTTTGTAGACAAGTATCTTAAAACTCCTCCCTTCACTCCTCAATACCCCTATGTTTCAGTTATAATCAACACCATCCACAACAAATATCCTGTGCTGAATTAGGAAAGGAGTAGAGAAATTATAATGACACTAAGACACATTTAATCACCAGTGTTCCAAACAAGGCAAAAATGTTGAAATGTAGTATATGAACATCTAAAGTTTAAATGTTTAAACAAATGAAGGCAGAATCAGTTTCAAAGCTATTATTACAAGAAATGGATAGTTACTTGGCCAGTGGAGTAGTGAATCAATTTTCTATTCTCAAAGAGAAAAATTAACAGAAAATGTTGAGGTAAAGTGCAAATAATAGATTCTTTATTTTCTTGTTTTTTTTTTTTTAAGATTTATTTATTCATACAGAACTGAGGTACAGGCCAGAGGTGCTGGGGTGTCAAGAGAACTCACCAGAGACAAAATGGGGAGCAGAACAGGCAGATCGACAAAGTACACTGCTGAGGGAAGAAATGGCTGGGTCAGGAGAGGTCTGCCGCACCATGGGATCACCTCCAGGGTTGGGGATCAAACTCACACTGAAGCGGCTGCAGTCAGCTTGCAGTGCTGAGCTCTCACCCATTGGCCAGTAGGGAGAGCCTTCTTGTTTTGTTTTTAAGTGGACAATGGAATTGGGTCATAAATATTTTATCAAACTACCCTAAGTATCTGAAGTGCCTTTGTCATTTTTAAAAGACTTTCTTTTCTCCATGGAAACCCAAAGAAAATAAGAAAATGTATGTATTAATGTGAAAGTATTTTGAATAATATGAACACTATTAGTAATTGATCTCAATGTCTCTAAGACAGCGGGTCTTTCACATACAGAGTTGTACAATTTGATGAGGAGTTAAGGTTTGACATTCTGTAGATTGATTAATTTGAAATGTGACAATCCTTGCAACATTAACATTTCGTAACTTTTTCATTTAGAATAGTATCTTTCACTGAACTTGCATAAAAATGTGGGTAAAACATTTAAAATAGACTTTATATTCCGCCCCTGCAGATTTCAAGCAGAAAGCACTCTACTTCTCAACTGCACACAATGTTTTCCATGAATTTTGTTCTGAACCTCTAAAGGTTTGAATAATGCTGGTTAACTTACTGGCTAGCGAGAGAACATCGCCTAGAGCAGGTGCAATAGTAAATACTCAGTGACGTGGATGGCTTTACACACATTCTTATTATTCAGATTGGAAGCTCTATGCCCACTTCATAGCATTCCAGCAAAAGCAGATGTATATCAGGCATTATACTTGTCACATTTTACTCGCCTGCTGCAAGCGAAACTGCAAAGTACTCATATAATGAACTTGTCTTCCAGAACTTCTGTTTATATAGCCTACATCATCATTTCTGGCAAGAGAGGAAAACATCAAGGAAGGACAATGTTTTCCCCAGTATTCATTTAGCACTCACCAATCACTTTTCCCCAAAGCATATTGATATTGGCACAAAAGGTTCATCTGTCTCACTTGATGACCCAGCTCTCTAGCAAGCCTGAACTATTCCAGCATGCTTGCCACTTCAGTGTCTGCTGGGACACAGACATGGGGAAACACCAAAGAATTTCATTCTGATATAAAACAGGTAACTAAAGAAACCTCCACCGAGTAGTAGAAAGGAAATATATTTACAGATAAAAAGATAGAGACATGTCTACATTTAAATCTTTTTTTTAAAGACTTATTTATTAAAGCATACAGAACTGGGGGACAGACTACAGGTGCAGGGGCAGTGAGAGGATTCACCAGAGACAGAGTGGGGAGCAGAACAGGCAGATCGACGAAGTACACTGCTGAGGGGAGCAGCAGGCGGGTCAGGAGAGGTCTGCCACACCATGTGGGTCACCTCTGGGGTGGGGATTGAACTCATACTGAAGTGGTTTTAGCTTCTTAGTGCTGTGCTTTAACCCGCTGCGCCACCAGGGAAGGCTCTACATCTTAATCTTTAAGGCACTTGCTATTTACTATCTTTTTTGTATTTTATATCAGAATGAAATGACTGGATGTTTCCCCAAGTCTATGTACCAGCAAACATTGATACGTGTTATACATACACTCCCACAGATTTATACCTATATATATCACATGCAGGTATATGTACATTTGGATGCACCTATCAATATGTAATATAACATTATCAGTAAAATTTTATTTATATATACTTGTGTGTGTGTTTAATAGGCAGTGTTGCAGGAGATAAGATCTGAAAGGAAAAGTACAGGTACTAGAAACTCCCAGTCTCAAAAATGCCCCACATAACCTTGGACCAATCCCTGATTTTTATATCAGAAGATTGGGAAGGCTTCCAGTCCTCCATAGTTCACCTGTACTCTTTCCTCACTGTTTCCAATCCAACTACACCACAATTAATGACATCAACACTGTGGTAGATGTCTCGAAACATAAACAAGAGAAAAGGATGAATTCCAAGCTGTAACCCACCAGCCACAGATCTCCTTTATTATAATGTGTTACATAAAAACACATTAAAGATTAAAATTTCAGTTTAAATCTATAACCCTAATCTAGGAAATTTTTCCTTTTTGAAATCAAGTTAAAGTTATAAATTCTTGATAAGTACAAATCAGACCTCCATACTTGCTTTCATATACGCCTTGAATTTCTAATTCTTCAGTGAATTAAAATACATACAAGGAAAAGCATAAAAAGGGAAGTTACAATCAAATGCTATAGGAATCTTAACTTTTTTAAAGTTTTCTTAAAGGAAAAGTACAGGGATGAGAAAGCTTTCTGGAAAGCAACCCACTTAAGAATTAAGAACTTCAGACTTGAGAACGAGGCTCTGTATTCACTGGCTCTCTTGTGAGTAAAGCCCCACTAGAGATATCTCAGCCTCAGTTCTCGCATCTGTAAAACAGGTTAAGAACAGCCCTGCCTACTCATGGCCACTGGGTGTGTTTAATGAGGTAAACATCTCGACATAGGACGTGGGCACATGGCAGTTGCTATGGAGAGAGACTGCACATAGATAAACAGACATTTTAGAAAGAAATTTAAAGGTCTACTGTATGTTCACTCAGCCTTGTGCAATTTTCCACTTGAACACCTGATATTAGTATTTTAACAGAATTTGCTTATTTAACAGAATTCACTTACTAGAATTGAAAATGAATGTTTTAAAAAGTTCTGTTTTTCCTAATAAGTGGGAAAATATAAGAGAACAGACTCAACATACCATCTTTTTCGTGATATTTGTTTTCATGTGTTCTGACTGACTGCGATTCAGTGCCATCTGGAGCCTAAAGATAGAAAACAGGCCATTTAGTCATCTCCAACTTACAGTCAGAGAAACTGCATTGTGAATAATTCTATTGCTAACCTTTAGTGTACAAGATGCACTCAAAATTCTAACAATCACAAAAGGAAAAGAGCCATGGTTATTTTCCTCAAGCCATCACCCAACCGGTATTTAATTACCAACAACTTGTAGGATGCAATACTAAGCCTGGTAAGGAATATGAAAAATAGTGAAAGTGTCTCTGTCATCAAGAACATCACTGTTTAATGTAGGGAAAAGTACACCTATCAGAAAGCCACTAATATCCCTCAATAGAGTAATGAATAAACAAAATCTTGCTTAGCCATACAATGGGAAATTATTGGGCAATAAAAAGAAATGAAGTGGTGACATGTACAGCAGGGAGGAGCTGGAAGACATTTTGCCAAGTGAAAGGAACTAGTTACAAAGGTTATTTCATTCAAGTGAAATACACAGTACAGGCAAGTCAGAGACAAAAAGGATGGTTAGGGAAGAAGGAACTATAGGGAATGACCCCTAATGTGTGTGGGCTTTCTTTGGGGATGATGAAAATGTGCTAAGATTGAGCTCAGTAGGGCTCATAATCTATAATACTTGTTATTATCTTTACTAATATTTTAGCAAATATTATATTTACGGTTATCTTTACTGAATTGTGGACTTAAATAGGTGAGTTAGATGGCATGTGAACTACTATCTCAAAAATGTTATAAAAGCAAAATTACAAGTTGACATATAAAATAGAATTATTCAAATATTTAAGAAGCTAATAATAAAGGTGAGAGAAAGGTGCTCCTTTCTCAAGGGATTGAAGCAATGGTGTGAGGACTGTAGTCCTGCAAGGACTTAGGGACAAGATGAAACACGGCAGGCTCCTCACCAGTAAGTATGGCCAGGCAGTACTTCCGCCTTTTCAAGTAGGCTTTAAAGGGATGCCAAGATCAGAAAGTGTGTGTGGGGGGTGGGGTGGCGGGGGTCTTAAAGCAATGAGACACAAGGTCCTTTGAACCCATTATTTTATTTTTTTTTTATTTGAAGACTTATTTATTTGCATACAGAGCTGGGGTACAGGCCAGAGGTGCAGGGGCGGTGAGAGGATTCACCAGAGACAGAGTACAGAGTGGGGAGCAGAACAGGCAGATCGATGAAGCACACTGCTGAGGGGAGCAGAGGCGGGTCAGGGGAGGTCTGCCACGCCATGTGGTCACCTCCCAGGCAGGCAGGGATCGAACTCATGCGGAAGAGGTCTCAGCCTCTAAGTGCTGTGTTTCAACCTGCTGCGCCACCAGGGAGGGCCAAACCAATTATTTTAAAACAAAGCAGTTTCCTGGATTTCCATCTCTATACAAAAGTAGGTGGTCTTTCTAATTTACCTGATCACATATTTCACCTCAGGTTATTGACAAAGAACTCCACCCTCTACCAGGTATCTAAAAAAAATTTAAAAAAGCCCTGGGGCAGGTCCATGGAGTCATTAGTGCATCACTTAGACTTACAAGACAGCATAGATTTGACCCTTAAACAAGATGGGTTAACTGGTAAACAGACAACATAAAGCTATTGTATTGATAAATACAGTGCCATACTACAACTGTATTTTTCTTCCTTATGATTTTCTTAATAACAATTATTTTCTCTACTTACATGAGAGTACAGTACATAATATATACAGCATATAAAATATAGATTATGTTATCAGTGAGGCTGCCAGTCAACAGCAAGCTATTAGTAGCTAAGTTTGAGGGGGAATCAAAAATTGTATGTAGACGTTTCACTGTATGGGGGTCAACACCCTTATTCAACTGTATCACAGTGACCATCAAGTCAGAGAAATAGTATTAAGTGAAGGGCTACTTCAATCCCTTCAGGACACAGAAATTTCATTCTTCTTCTCCCCACAATCCCACTAGTTACTAGTCCTCTATATCACACTAAACATGGTAAATCTAATCTAATCTTACATATGAACACATATTTTGGAGCATGTGGTCAAAATTTTTTTCTGTAGTAATTGTAGATGACAATGCAGATGGTATTCATTTCTGTATTATATTTCCTAGTGTCAGCAGGGAATTCATGGGGCCGTATTTAAAATGGATGAGCTGAATATATACTTATTTGAAAATAGACGAACTACAAGTGAAGACGGCCGGCTCCTCTTTTTTTAAGAGATGCAAATGTCTTTCTAACGTGCTGCAGTGTTTCAATTAAAGGTATGCAGTGTAAGCAAGTTAACAGTATTTTAATTTATTGTGCTATGTCTCTACTAATGACTCCGTCAGAGGATACAATTCACCAGTTATCTTGGACTCAAACCATGTGGTTTAGACATTACCAGGAATTTGCTTTAAAAAAAAAATTGCTTCTTCCAGCACCGAGTAGCAACATCCTCTTGTAGGCTGGCGAGAATCCCACATATATATTTTGCTGAGATTCAGCTTTCTACCCCTCCTCCTTTTAACTTCCTCTTAACTCCCTTAGGGAGGGTTCTTTAATTGGGAAGGAAATGTCATAATACTATATAGTTTTACAATTCATATCTCCACAGCTGAAAACCCTGTCTAGTCCTTCAACTCCAGTGAAATAGAGTTGGATGGTTAACTGCTTCACAACAGCAAGAGATATGCTTGGAGCCACCCAGTTACCCTAAAACTCCTATAAAGTGGACTAAATTTGATCTACAATTGACCATGCAAATAGAGTTGCAATCTGCAGCAGTAAAAATTTTTTGGAAGAAGGAAACATCCACAAAAAGCAAAAAAACCTTTATATAACAGAAAAATACCTTAAATAGAAGCTCTTTCATTTCTTTTAAGGAATCTTACAATTTTGGTTGTCCTTTATTTATAGCTAAGTGTAAGCTTGTGGTTGGATGACTTACTATCAGAATCATGTATGGAAACCAAAGTACAGCAATATGCTTAGGAGTTAAATAGCACATTCTTTAAGTCAGACAAATTCAGGGTTTTGAAGTTGGGGCATTGAGCAAGTTGCTTAAAATCTATGAGCCTCAGCTTCAAATGGATTTCTGCTTCCTTCATAGGATTAAATGGGATAAGGCATGAGAAGCAGTTAGCACAGTAGTGGCCAGTAGTGGTGGCAGCTATTATGAACACAGTTATTGTTCCCAATTCCTCTTCTTTGTTCTCATTCCACCCGCCCACTGGGTCTTCTAGGCCAGAGGTAGTCAAATTTATCTAACAACAAGTCACACGGTAAGTCAACTCTGATCCTAAGAATGCTTTTTTCTTTGTAAGTAGCAAGACTTCCCTGATGACATCAATCTATACTTTGTGCAAACTCCTTATGTCCCCAAGGACAAGCAATGAAGAGTCCACAAACTAGCTGCTTTCAGCAGCTCTATTCTAGGCCATCTCTTACTTGTTCCAGGCTTCCTTGATCTCTTATCAGTCCCCTAGCCTCTATCAGACTCCAACTGCTTTTACTAATACACTAGTTATCATGACAAATATTTATTAAAATCACCTATGTGTGAGGCACCATGTATACCAAGGGGATTATTTCAGGGTTCCTACTTTGTAAATCAGCCACAACCGGTTCCCTCAGTTACTACTTGTGCTGATCCACACATGAGCCTAGGAAAAAGCAAACATTCCTGTAAGAGTTCACAGATAAAGAGAAATCCCTTACTTCTGCTTTTCTGTAAGTGACACTTGACAGTTGTGTCCGCTGGGGGACTAGCGTCACTTTCAATGCCCCAACCCTAACTCAAGCATTATTGTGCTGAATTCCAACTAATGTAATTTATTTTGTCCCATCAATATATATTCCAGAGGAACAGGCATTAAGTCCTTCTTGATGATGGCTAGTACAGAGCTTCAGTGCTTGACATATAAGTGCCCAGAGCATTGTTATTTGAATTAAATTGGATCAGTCCAGTTGATTCTTAGGAATTATTCTTTGCATTAATATTTAAAAAAACTCAAATCACTGTGTTGTAAACAATGCTACATCAATAAAAAAAATTAAAAATGTTACAGGGGAAAAAAACCTACTTTTTTGCTTAACTCTGTCTGTTGAGCAAATATATCTCTGACATCAGGAATCTGGTACTGTTTGTTTCTTTTCCTCATGGTCTGGGAGACAGTTTCTACCCGTTTCCGAACAGCTGCTGCCTGGGTCCGGGTCAGTGTAGAAAGAGGTATCATGCTTTCTTGGGGATCTCCAGCAGACTCTCCAACGAGACTGGAGAAACCAGTCTCCTTAAGCCACTCTTCTTCCAATTCACCCTCTACGATATAGAGAAAAAATAGTATGTAAGTTACAAAATATGAGAACATTTATATAAATATATATATGTGTGTGTGTGTGTGTGTAAATATAAACATAAGATTTATTTATTTATTTATTTATTTATGCATACAGAACTGGGCTACAAACCAGAGGTGTGGGGGTGGTGAGAGGATTCACCAGAGACAGAGTGGGGAGCAGAACAGGCCAACTGATGAAGTACACTGCTGAGGGGAGCAGCAAGCGGGTCAGGAGAGGTCTGCCACATCATGTGGGTCATCTCCGGGGTGGGGGATAGAACTCATGCTGAAGTGGCTTTAGCTTCTTACTGCTGTGCTTTAACCTGCTGTGCCACCAGGGAGGGCCCACATTTATATTTTTTAAAGTGTTCCAAAATTCTTACTGAAACTCTTCTATTGCTACCAAACCACACAGTGCTAAGTGTCATTACCAGGAGTTTGGACAAGTGCCACAAACTCCAACCACAAAGATATCAAATTTTAGATCCATTTCATATATACCTAATTAAAAATTTTAAATAACTCCATATGTAATTAACCTCTATAACTTTCCTGCAGATTAACTAGAGGAAGATAATACTGTTCCCTTTTCAGAGATGAACAAACAATGAAAAGATAAGTATTTTCCATCAAGTTACAGAAGGAAGTCAATGCTGGGGATATCAAAGCAAGTCCTGTTTCTTGGCTCCAATTCAGCACTACCCCAGAGTCCCACTCTAATTGATGGAAAGGCATATTTTCTCTGTTCACTGTCGCTGATGTGAAGTGTAACAAAGAATAAAGAGCATCTGGACATCAGGAACTAATCAATTTCAAATTAATTTTTAATCCTCTCAGTCAGCATATCAGTCTTGTTTACAAATTAAGAAAAAATACATTTAGCAAGAAAATAACATTATAGGAAACTAAATAACTGAACCAGTTCAAAATACTACAGCAAGAAATGGTAAAGCAAATATTGTATAAGAGCCAGTGAAATTATAGAAAAACAGAAAGATAATGAGTATATGACAGCTCCAAACTACAAGTATATGGAGGAAAATGGAAGACCAATGCATTGGGGCACAAATGACCTGCGTCTATACCACATATCTTTAGCTCAATAACCACGTTGCTTCTCCTCAATTCAACTCTCGTCTGTAAGTTAAAGTACAACTGTCCTGGCAGCTCATAACCAAATGTGAGAATATTAGATGGGAAGCGTTTTGCTGATCTTGATTGGAGCCTATTTCACATGATGCCACAGTGACTGCTTTGCCTGTCTATCCTTCTAGACTTTATAAACTCCTGGAGAGAAGACATCAAGAATTAATAACCCTGACTTCAGGAAGTAGTTTTTGTTGCTTGGAATGCAGAATGCCTGGTGCTATTCTATTTGCTAACATCAAAAGTCCACCATTACTATTATAAGCTGAAGAGGGAGATCCTATACTTCTGAGACACCAGCACTTTGTAAGCCTGTGTTCTCTCAACTAAAAAAAAAAAAAAAAAAAAAAAAAAAAAAAAAACAGGAAAAAGTTGACATTGTCATAAGGAAAGTAAATAAGACTGCATTATGGAATCACCTGTTCCATTGAGAAGCAGTTAAACTCAAAAAGTTTAAAGTCAAAAAAAAAAAAATGGGCAGGTAGAAATATCACTAGTTCATCTTAATAATCATATTTAGGAACAGTAACCTAAGCATTCATTTTAATCTTGCAGAATTATGAAATTGCTAATGGCATGGCTAATGATGAGGTTTGAATGCTATTCCCAGTAGAATAGTTTCTCCTTAGTCATCAAACTGCCAAAATGCTGCTTCTACCTTAAAATACTGAGATAAGGGTCAAGAGGATTATTAGCTATCACAACTAAGTTCAGATTTGTTGGTAACATGTTTGAGAAGGGAAAGTGGAAAAGGACACAAATTAAAGAGTTAGTTATTATTTTCCTTTACAAGTCAAAAATATGTTAAATTAAGAAAAAGCACAATATTCAAGAAATATTATATAGCAAAGGAGAAGAAACTATTTATGAAAACATTGCTACTTAAACAACCCAATCCTAAATAATCTAGTTATGCCCTTTGTTGAAATGCAGGTCAGTATTCAGTGGGTCATGAATGAACAGTATTTCTTCACTTTTTTAGAGTTTATCTCAAGTGTGCACAGATCACAGAATCAGGCATCAAAAACTTAGTAAATATTGAATTTAAGAGGTTGAAGGAAATAGTATGAAATTTAAAAGGGGGTTGGACATAGTTAAGTCTTACATTTTTCTTTCAGAACATCAAGTTTAGTTGTTGAGACTAGAAAGAGGCTTGACAGAAATTACAGATCAAATCTAAGAAAAAAATATATAGAAGTAAAAAAAGGTTATGTCATCTTCCACTGTCCAAATATATATCCTAAGATTAGCAGGCCAAACTTGTGAATCCAGTCTTAAGGACTGTATCTTGAAAAATAAAATGAACAGGAATGGGTCAGGTTTGAAAATCTACAAGAAAGGACAGAATTTTCCTTCTAGAAAGAACTTGGGTAGCAACATTTAAAAAAATACGTATTCTGCTTTTCCAAAGGGCAAAACCATAGCAAATGAGTCAAAGGTAAATTATAGTCAATTATGAATAAAAAAATTAAGATCAAGATTCCTTTTCTTTCCATGCATTTATCTCATAAATAAATACCTATACAAAACAAAACCAAAAACTTTCATTTATTTAGTTATTACCATCAGGTTCTTTGACAATAACCACCTCTTGATCTTGTTTGGTCTCACTAGATATATTCATATCTTCTAGTTCCATATAGTAGTCCTCCACAGGCAAATCGTGCAAAGAATCCTGGGAACTTGATTGACCAAATGCACATTTTTCCGTATCTTTGGTGACTTCCTGATTTATAGTATACTGGCCATATCTGCGACTATAAATTAAAAAAAGTTAGGCATTTAGCACATGCTTAGCAGTAGTACAGTTTCTAAACAGCATCACACTAAGAAAAAGAACTTCGAAATTCCCTCAGTTCTCCTTAATAAAACCAAATATATATCTAGACACCTTACCTTGAAGTGCTACTGATTATAACATACTTCCAGAATAAGAAATTTCACTCTCTACGGAAAACTGTAGTGAATAATAAAAGCAATATGATAAATCAACCAGTTGATTCTTAGGAATTATTCTTTGCATTAA